GGTGGTAATCCACTCGCTCTCAATGTTTTGCAACACAGCTGGCTATTCTCTGTCCATTTATTGCAGAAAAATCTAAAAGGTTTCTTTGGGAAAAGTGGCCTTTAAAAATTAAAAGAACTGCTGCACCTAACTTGAAATTTAAATACTTATCTTAATTTCCCAAGTTGTCTTCAAGCAGTATTTTCAGTTAGGCCTCATATTTGGCTGCCAAGTTTTCTTCTGTCAAACCTGTCAAAGAAATTGTCGAATTCTCCATGTTTTTTTGCAGAGGGGATGTACAAGTTAGACACGACCATTTTTGCTGTGTTCACAACTCCAAGGTGAGTGGTTCATTTCAGCATGTATCTCGAACTTGATCCATTTTTTCAGAGCAAACATTTTGCCACCCACGAGTCCTCCACACATTCAAAGCTGTTCAAGCTTGCTTGACTATGCGGCTGTTTCATGTGCCAAACGTCAGCTCTAACTCCACAGCTGTTTGATCGAGCTCTTCTCCAAATGACCCAATATTGCATTCTATTAAAGTGGGATTATATTTCAAACTATTAAGATATTCTAAAATGAGCTTTATAGAAAATGTGCAAAACATGGTGCCCCATAGCGGGGTCATTCTGCGTTGAAAATCACCTGAAAGTTTGGAGCTCGAAATCCCAATGCTATACACATACATACATACTGTACATGTAGATCGTACATATACACGGCTTTTGAATATCGCATTTCGGCAATAAGCATGTCAACTTCAAGGAGCTCCGGAAAAAGTGAAAGAAAGAATGATTACATCTTCAGTTTTTAGATATTTTGCAGAAAACACGCTGGAATGTAACATTTTGCCCGAGCTCACCTCTAGGTCATGTGATCAACAAGGTCAAATTAAAGGTCGAACGGAAGGCCAGATGGTCGTGTAGAAAATATTCATTTTGTAGAAAGCATACTGGCATGACTGGTGTATTTTTACCTAAGCTCACCTCAAGTTCACATATCTACATTGTCAAATTCACAGTCAAAGAAAGGCCAAACAGCCTTTATAATTCAAATTCTTCTGACATCACTCCATAATTTAAAACAAGGGCAGTCCACAGCACAAAAAAATGTTCAATCAATGGAGCTAAAAATTGACATTTCAGCCACTTCCAGCCCCATCTATCAAGCGAATCAAGAGGAGTGAGGTTTGACACATTGGGTGATTACATTTTTGACACGAAAGTTATCCCATTCTATGGGAATGGCGGAGTGATTGGGACATGTGTCTGCAGTTGTGCAAATTATAACGCTATTCAATGTTTTTCCTGCCTATTCAACTGTGAGGCAGCCTACCCCACCGAGATTAGTGACTACGTCAGGCTTTTTCACTTAAAATAGACAAAGATGGAAGGAAATTGCAAAATAACTGAAATATTTGGAAATAGATTAGTTTCAAATCATTCAGAATGGTAAAGAGGGACAGAGAATACAAGATCGATTTATTTTAGAAGGGAAATTTGGGGTAAATGTACTATAAGACCATATAGAATTTATCTGAGGCCTTTTATAACATACTCGCTTTTGTTTTAGGCAAAATTTGTTCGACCACCTCAAACATATCAGTACCCCAGGGGAAAGCCTGAGGCTACCTCTTTATTGGACGGGGGGGGGGGGAGTTTAAAGTGTTGAAATAATCTCAAATGCATGAGTCTCATGCTTAGTGCCCAACGCAGCTAGTCATGGTGTCGGTGTAATTCACTTGCNGGTGGTAATCCACTCGCTCTCAATGTTTTTCCACCTAGCTGGCTATTCTCTGTCCATTTATTGCAGAAAAATCTGAAAGGTTTCTTTGGGAAAAGTGCTGCACCTAACTTGAAATTTAAATACTTATCTTAATTTCCCAAGTTGTCTTCAAGCAGTATTTTCAGTTAGGCCTCATATTTGGTTGCCAAGTTTTCTTCTGTCAAACCTGTCGAAGAAATTGTCGAATTCTCCAATTTTTTTGCAGAGGGGATGTACAAGTTAGACACGACCATTTTTGCTGTGTTCACAACTCCAAGGTGAGTGGTTTATTTCAGCATGTATCTCGAACTTGATCAATTTTTTCGGAGAAAACATTTTGCCACCCACGAGTCCTCCACTCATTCAAAGCTGTTCAAGCTTGCTTGACTATGCGGCTGTTTCATGTGCCAAACGTCAGCTCTAACTCAAACAGCAGTTTGGTTGAGCTCTTCTCCAAATAACTAACGCTATACACATACATACTGTACATGTAGATAGTACATATACACTGCTTTTGAATATTGCACTTCGGCAATAAGCATGTCAACTTATAGGAGCTCCGGAAAAAGGGAAAGAAAGATTACGTCTTCAGTTTTGAGATATTTTGCAGAAAACATGCTGGAATGTAACATTTTGCCCGAACTCACTTCTAGGTCATGTGATCAACAAGGTCAAATTAAAGGTCGAATGGAAGGCCAGATGGTTGTGTAGAGAACAGGCATTTTGTAGAAAGCATACTGGCACGACTGGTGTATTTTTACCTAAGCTCACCTTAAGTTTACATATCTACAATGTCAAATTCACAGTCAAAGGAAAGGCCAAACAGCCTTTATAATTCAAATTCTTATGACACTACTCCATAATTTAAAACAAGGGCAGTCCACAGCACAAAAAAAATGTTCAATCAATGGAGCTAAAAATTGACATTTCAGCCACTTCCAGCCCCATCTATCAAGCGAATTGAGAGGAGTGAGGTTTGACGCATTGGGTGATTACATTTTTGACACGAAAGTTATCCCATTGTATGCGAAAGGCGGGGTGATTGGTACATGTGTCTGCAGTCGTGCAAATTACATGTATAAGGCTATTCAGGGTTTTCCCTGCATATTCGACTGTGAGGCAGCCTACCTCACCGAGATTAGTGACTAGGTCAGGCTTTTTCGGTTGAATTTACCACCTCACACTTAAAATAGACAAAGATCGAAGGAAATAGCAAAATAACTGAGATATTTTGAAATAGATCAGTTTCAAATCATTCAGAATGATAAAGAGGGACAGAGAATACAAGATCGATTTATTTTAGAAGGGAAATTTGGGGTAAATGTACTATTAGACCACATAGAATTTATCTGAGGCCTTTTATAACATACTCGCTTTTGTTTCAGGCAAAATTTGTTCGACCACCTCAAACATATCAGTTCCCCAGGGGAAAGCCTGAGGCTACCTCTTTATTGGACGGGGGGGAGTTCAAAGTGTTGAAATAATCTCAAATGCACAAGTCTCATGCTTAGTGCCCGACTCAGTCATGGTGTCCATATAATTCACTTGCTTTGTTAATGATCAGGGTTGGCGTTGCAAGCTCTGCTGTGTGCGCCTATGATGTGAATGAAATTGAGCAGCTGTTTGACCAAGGAGAGCAGAGAGGACAGCCTCAGGATGGATTCCTGTGGACGGCTCTGGATGATGCTGACAAACCTGCAAACTTCTCCAAACTGTTTAAGGTGAGAGTCTTGTTCAATAACAAAGTTGATCTTCAGCTGCTGACAGATGGGTTTCCCTGATGGATGGCATGTAACAATTGCCACTTACTTGAAGTGGGACACTGGTATTAAAAATGCCGTGTCGTCTGCTCCGGGTTAAGATGAACACTCATTGGCCGATGGGAGGTTTTTCTTCGCCGGAGCAAGTGCACTCACCCGGCACACTCTCGAAGCAAAGCCCGAGGATGCCTCAGGTTTTCTTTGGCAAAATGTGCATTGACCTCACACCAGTTTGCGACAAAATGTGAGGCCAACAAAATGCTGTCATACAACCTCATTATAAATTGCACTGTTGCTTTAGCCACTGAACAGTCAGGCTGAGCTGAAAACAACTAGTCTAGTGATAGCTTGATTAACAAGTCCACTTGTCATGTGATTTTTGCTGATATTTGTATGTGCATGTAATCTAAGAAAAGACTACACCTGGAATATTCCAAGCACTGGAGCAATTTGGATAAGTTCCTCAGTATGCTTTAATTCAAGTACACGTAAGTCTAAATCCAGTGCATCTGAGATCAGGAAATAATCGCAACATTGTACAGAAACCATGGCACATTAAAATTAAACAGAAGCATAAGCTGTCTGATATACAGCTTCTTCTGGTGCACTGAAGGGAAGACAGAAAGTAAGAGTTAAGGCACTTCCTGTGACGAGCCTAAGTCAAAAGACTGGTCACTGATCATACAGGGAGTTCATTCTTTTATAATGAAAGAAAAAACACTGTTGAATGCAGTCCAGAGTGTTTCTGATCCTCTGCTGATCTGCTGTGCTGAATTTTTTATTTTTCTGAATGAACATAATAACTCAGTAATAATAATAATTTTTAAAAACTGGATTTGGAAAACGCCCTCTATTAACTTAACCTCAGGGCAGTTTTGACTTATCTAGTGAGACGAAGATACATAAAACTTAAAAATGAGTAATACATTAAGTTCAACATGAGTAGGCACATGTATTAATATACCGCATAAGAGTTATTTCACTGGGGCAGTCTGTCCGAGGTCTCCTTAATGGTTCTACAACAGATAAGATTGAATGCACGACAGACAGGATACAGCCATTTCACAATAGTGCGCCACCAAGAGTTTGCAACGCGTTGGCTAATCACAGTGCGTGAAATTTGGCGACCCAATGCACGTTTGAAAATGGTCGACAAATTTCGCACGTTATGATTGGTCAGCGTGTTGCAAACTCTTGGTGGTGCAGTCTTGTGAATCGCCCGTATAGAAGCGGAGGTGCACCACGCAGACAGTGAATAAGGCATATGCACACACTGCTACTCACGGTTTGCTTAAGATGTTTGACTGGGTGGGGGGGGGAGGGAAGCTAGGGCCTAGGTAAGCAACCCCGGGGGAGGGGGAGGGTCAATTGGGGGGGCAGTGCATTGAATATTTCACAAGATTTACACTTTTTTTTAAACCAGTGTGTGAAACTCTAAGCAATGTAAAATTAGCTGTCTGCTGGTAGGGTGTCTATTCTAGCTATGGTACAATCATTTTATTCCCTTCTAGTGCAGCGAACTGCCTCAGTTTTCACCCGATGATGAACAACAGAAAATCCTGTTGAATTACCCATTAATGAATCTGCCCGTCCCCAACAAATTGAACTACAAGGATGGCTCCAGCAACTACTTGAGACCATCTGATGCGCCACTCTTTGTGGTTGACGAGTTGCGCCTATCGCAGATTGTAGTCGATACTGTCGCAAACAGCTTTGATGTAATGTTCCTTGGTACAGGTGAGTCTCTTGGCCGTGAAACAACTTACCTTTGCACTGACCAACAGCAGGAATAATTAAACTTTTGGGAAAGATGATTGGTAATAAGCAAGTTTAATACATGAAGCATTAAGGTCAGTGCTGTTGACACGCAGCATTAACCTTTCTGTGCTGAAGTCACTCTTTGTATGAGTTGGTAAGCCTCACAAAGATGCACAGATGTGTCATATGCATGTAGCTGCCAAACTATCTCTCACAGGAATATCAGATTGCACTTTTGTGCTGTCCAACAACTGTACTGTGCCTCTCTTTTTCATGTGCATAATTGTGCAGTAAACCAAATGCAGTGAAGAGGACTGCACAAAAGAGCTTGTGTCATTATGTACTGGCAACCAACTGTATACACACTGAACCTGTGCCTATTTGTATTCCATATAGAAAACACATGCCAAAGAGTGACTGCTGGCATTTGTGCATATCTGTGCTGTTATTAAAAAGAACATAAGAGAGTTAATGGGTTCCACCCATGCTTGTGCCTGTAGACAGGGGAAAACTATCACAAGGATATGTCGCAAGTACTGTGCATGCATGCATAGAGCTGCATTACTGCATGCATGCATAGAACAGCCTAGAGCTAGTCACAGGATGTACCCACCTCGTGGCATTGGGGCACAGTAACCAGGTTTAAATTTGGTTCAGGATGTGTTTTCTGTCCTCGGCCACTTTGTGAGTTAAGTAGTTTCTTCAACTTTGGCCCTCGTTACTATGCATGCTTACCAAGGGATTACCACATTGTGCAGCAATCGTCACCTTGAGTCATGGAGCTCAGGCAGTGTCCTGTAAAATTTATAAACTTCCATACATTAGATAACGAGGTTCCTGATGCTACATGTATCTTACCGTCCCCACAGAGAAGAATAAAGATGGGAACATGGGATGCGTTGGCCAATCGACCTCATACAACATCCAGATTGTCCGTCGCTTCCCTTACCTTAAACACTATTCTTGATATTCTTGAATTGATATTCCTTGTTTTGTTGACAGAGCGAGGGACAGTCATCAAGGCCTACCTCAACAACTCCAATGCTTTTTTCGTAGAGGAGATAGATTTGAACGTGAAGGGACTCCCAGAGGTACATGTAAGATGGAGCTTACAAGATTAGCTGTAGGAAAGGATGCTTGTGCTCTGGTTTGGGCGATTAATTGCTGTAAAGTATCTAGCTCAAAGACGCAAACATTGCATTATTGGATTACATTATGGCCAAAATTTGGGACTTCATCTTTTTGAAATTCATTTAAATATCGTAACCTAAATCAGATGCTCCGAAATCTTTATTGGATGGTTTTTGCTTGTCGTTCTACATCGTTTGGATAAAACTATTTTTACTTCCTTAGTTGGGAGAGAGGTTGTGTAGAACTTTTTCCAGGGATGTTGTGACTGCTTTAAAAGCAGCGTCTGTTGAATATCGTTATTAAGGAATTGCTTTATTTGATGTTACCCCTGATTGGCAGGCGTGTAAATCTCGATGGGAATACAATGCTGATGGCGACCCCTTTTTTTCAGTGGGCCTTTATAATTGAGGTCCTTGTTTCTCTGTTGCGTTGTGGGGATCAAGACAAAAGCAATGATGGACAATGCATTGCAGTGGCTTAGTGGTGAGACTTTTGGCAGTGATGCTATGAGGGTTGAAAATCGTTTACATTGTGACTGTTGAATGCAAACAAACCTTTTCCGAGGCACCAGTTGTCTTCCTTAAAACTTACCAAGTGCTGCCAAGTTTTTTGGCAAATGCAACGAGCGCTCGACGATGAAATGAAAATCCACCAAGTGATTCTTTTTGCCTACTGTCCCCCCCCCCAGGCACCAATCCTGAGTCTGGTGAAAAAACCCACTCAGACTGCCATATACGTGGGCACCGACTACAGTGTGTATAGGCTGCCAGTGGACGCAGCTTGTTCAAACAGAACGACCTGCGGCTGTGAGAAGGACCCTCACTGTGTGTGCGATGGCAGCAGCTGTGTGCCCAGGACTGGGTCAGTTCTCTCTCACATTTTCAAAACTTCACAATTTGCGGATTTCGTCGGCTCCAAATCCTGGAAGTTTTCAAGTTATCAGCAGGAGAGTGTGTTACTGGACATCTGAAAATGCTTTATTTTTCACTTTTTTCTTTTGACACACATAAAGACAGCAAGACACTTGATGAACAGGGCGGTTCGTGTGCCCTGTCTTTGAAATCATCCACATTGTGTTAGAACAGTGTGCAATAGGTTTTTTGAAGCAGTATACCACTGTTTGGGGCATTGAGTGTGAGTGGATTACCACCGGGGACAAAAGTGCTCCACCACCGCAGTGATGAGCCACACAGCACTGCTGCACGCTAATCTGGCCCCTGTTGAAAAGAACAGTGTTCAAATGATTGTCTTAATAGGAATGTGATATACATGTAGAATAATCATCACTGTACCAAAAAAAGCTAGTTAGGAAGCTAACCTTGAACTTGTCAAGAAGAGAGCTTTGCCAACAGTGAGGTGAAACCATTCATTTGCATAAACGGAGGACTTCCTTCAAACTTTATGACAAGAGCAAAAACCTAACCCAGAAAGTCACAAACTTCTGCAATATCTACTGAATCTCATACATTATGGTAAAACTACCAGTATTAAGATACTTTCTGTGAAGAAAGAATCACAACCTTTAACCACTTGCTGCCAGGGAGCCCAGTTTCGGACACGTCTTTTTTATATGCACAGCCAGGGTGCCCGAAATTGGACAAAGGGAACTGGGCCTTGTAACAAAAGGTCATACTCGTAACAAAAGACCAGGCTGCTGGAAATTGCCAACATTTTTTCACTGTCAATAGTGAAGATAATCGAGCATTTTTTTGAAACAGTATACCACTGTTTTGGGCATTTAGTGTGATTACCACCGGGGACAAAAGCGCTCCAACGCAGCAGCGATGAGCCACACAGTATAGCTACATGCTAATCTGGCCCCTATCGCAAGGACGTCAGCAGCGCACTGTGCCAGTTTTGGGAACAAAAGAAAATTTTGTAACACCGCAAAATCTGGGCTCTTTTTACAAGGCAGCAGGCCTGGCCGAAATACTCCGGCGTCAAGAGATGTTGTCTGTCAGATCAGAGTAGAGACCAGACAGTCCTTCATTAAAGTGTCCAGTAAATGAAGATATGAATTTTTGAAATTTCGAAAACACAAAAAAATGAAAAATACCCCGGCCCAGCAGAATCAATGTTTATAAATGCCCTCGGCAGGAAGTGGCTAAAGTAACTTTCTGGCACATAAAATTTTCAGAAAGCAGTAATAGAACAACTTTATAATTTTGCCAAGTGTGCACGATATTTGAGGGCTGGCTTCTAAACCACAGTTGTATCTTGTAGAGGCATTTGGTTTGACAAAAGAACTAATCTGATCCCATTTCAATTGCAGGGCGACATCTCCAAAGAAATGCATCTCTGACTGTGGTGAGGGTTTGTCCCATACATGTGCTTTCATTTGTCAGGGAGTATGGTTGGTCATTTCCAGAATAGGAATTAATTTTCTGTTCAGAACTGTTCCAATGCAGTTCCCACTCTGTCTTTTCCCAGGTCAGTCCTGATTCTTTCACTCCAAAATAGGAAAAAAATCTATGCATGAAAGGCCTCCAGTGATATTGTCATACTTTGCAGTAGAATCTACTGCTGTTCGTGATTATGAACACCCTGCACCCTTGGGCATCACGGTAGGTGTCTTCTTGTAACACTTACCAAAGAATCTCTTGAGCTTTCTTTCTACTGTTTTCCTGTTTATTCTTGAAGTTTTTTTCTGTTTTCTGCCTGACACACCCTAGAACCACCACCAGACACCTTCAACATCTCAGTGGTCAGACACTTGCCGTGTAGCAACTGCCTCAGTGACCAATGCCCTGGAGAGCGCTGTGTTGAGAAGATCCCCAGAAACAATTCAACCAACTTGTACTTTGTCGCACGGGCCCCCGAGGGCGGCAACCTGACTGCCAGCGTGAACTGCAGCTGCAAGGTGGAGGACACAACGATCAGGCGAAGCATCTGTGGCAGGACCGAGCATGTGATGGTGACCGTCGTGGTCAACGTCACGTCCTCCTGTCGCTGCATCGTGGACTTCAACACCATCACCGCAAAGGAGACCCTTATGACACAGATACTCCCCGATGAATCACCTCCAGCTTCAGGTGATTTTATGCAAGTGGCCTTGTAGAATAGACTGTCACATATATCTATATATTGGATCAAGGTTTTTATTTACCTCTCACAAAGTTTAGTCATGGCCAATATTAGTCCGTAGCCATAATACTGAGACAAAAGTAGACATGCTGTCCGCATACCACTTGAGAGTTTTCGAGTTGGGAGGCTCTAACTCGGAAAAGGCACTACCTTTTTGGGCCTGTTCGTTTGATTACACTGTTCATCTTGTGTTTATAGGATTAACCTACTTTGGCTTTAATCCTTCAAAGTGTTAGTGCTGTATGTAGCATGTAAATTGTACTATCCTGTGTGACACTTCACGTTTCAGTACACAAAAGTAGTGCATGTACCAGTGAATTCAAGGATCACATGTAATAGTTTGGTCAAAGGATTTAACAGATAAGAAGCTGGGGAAAGGGTTGACATGTAAACAGCGAAAAGGCGGCGGAACTCGGCCCTCTCTCTCTAGTGGAATGTTTCTCTCATGGAGCACTATGGAAATGAAAACTCATGCACATGTGCCATAGTTGTGAGGACATATGCATGTTATTTCACCTGTTTTGAAGGGACTGATTTTCGGACAGAGAAATGTCCCTACATTTCGGTCCTAATTCACCCATCCAAAGGAATGGTCTTTCTAACGCAGTAAAGGCCTAACGACCCAGGGCATATGCACAGATACGCCACTACAAACTGCTTTAGATTATTGACTTGGATACATGAGCAAAGGCCCTTATGTCGGGACAACTACAAAGATATTTGCTAAAAATCATTTTTTTTTGTGAACAGATGTGTGCATGGAGGAGGTGCAGGATTTTGACAACAGAGTGAGTTTATACAGGTTTCAGCTGGAGCAGTGGAAAAACCGCATGGTAAGTCTGTTTGTGGACATCTATTGATTAGAGGTTATGAGTTGCCTGCATCTCCACCGTGTCTCAGGGGCTGTTTATGTTATTTAATTTAGTTACAATGGACGGCCAATAGGGTTTCTTTTTTTGGCCTATCCTGGTTAAAGCTCTTGCCCTCTGCGGACGCATTAATGCATCACCTCTAGTTGGATGGGCAATACAGGCCATTCATGATTCATTACACCACCAAGAGGTTGCCACAGAGAGGCCTTTTACGCAGTGCCTCGTTGGAAAATGGTCGACAAAAATCGAATTGTCAGCTGCGCTGCATATTGCATATTTACCTCAAATTGGATCAAATATTTAAATGTTACAGTCACAAGTTGTGCAAAGTTGCAGGAATGATCACAAATCGATTACAAAATAGGTGACTGTTTCAAAAGAGAGAAACAGACATGTATAGAAATGTAGCGGCTAGCCATGACAGCTTCACTGTTCTAGTTGGGTTCTCCAGAATTGGTGTCCGAGTCTCGATTATGTTCCGTTTCCTTTCTACTCAGTCCTTCAAAGGTCATCCGTTTGCCTGGAGGGGTTTTTTGGTGCAAATGCCCCCATGGTGTGTCCATTTTTTCCCCGGTTATGTCGGCAGCACCTAAAGCGTAAGCATGTGCATGTACTCTATGAGTGCACTCACTTGGTTCATGCCGGGCAGACATTCTGCCATCTTCCATCTCATGCCTGCCCAGCATTTAGAGATGCTAATATGTGTGACCCGACTGGTGCATGCATCTGTCTGTGTATTTGGCTCTCAACAGATTGAGCAATCCAACTGTTTGGCAGAGACTAACAGCCTGGGCTACTGTCAAGATGGTTGCCAGTAAAGGAGAGGTAAGCTTAGCTTTGTGCAATCGAAATGACTTGTGAGAATCAACCAACTGAAATATTATCAGTGATGCTATTAAGAAGTATGGTGGATGCAGTTGGAGGGCGCTGTTTGGTAGGGTAGCATCTTTTGTGGTGACTCCAACGTACCCACTCCGAATAGCGCCCTCCTGTGTTGTCGGCCATGCTTTAAAAAAGTGCCTGTTGATGAGTCATAAAATAATGTAATCCCAAATAAATTGTGTCATCAGGGAGAGCTAGTTAAGGTTCAGAATCCGACTGAGTGGTAATCAGTGGAGGACCCCTTTTCCTAGAGTATCGTGACTCTGGAAAACTCAGTAAACCTGATGAGAATGAAAATAAAAGCAATGAAAAATTTACATTAGAAATTAATGCCATTTATTCTGAGGATTACTTTGAAATTTGTGATTAATTATATCTAAATGTTACAGCCCTAGTCCTCAATCCTCCGATTTCAATAAGATTTTACATAAACCCTGGGGGAAATAGGTTTAAACCACATAAAGAAAAAAACCAAAAGTGATGCACAAAACTCAACTAGTCTCGCACCATGTAACAGATGACTCCGAGTAAGACAAATTCTAGGAACATGGCTTCCGTATGAAGAAGGTCTGTTATACAACGGGCAAGGTCAAGCAACGTCTACCGTTGACTACAGTTTGTCCAACACTGCCTGAACGATGGATGGTTTGCACTCTCTTGTCGACCATTTGGGACCAGGCCCAGGGGTATGGCTGCCGCGGCACTGCTGGTTGTCGACGGCCAATTTCATGTATCATTACAGAGGGAACCGTTCACGTGAAAATAATATTACGAGATTTTATTGGCCATATATGCTGCGAGAATCACAGCCAACTGCGAAATGTGAGTCATGGGGAGATTTCAGAAAATTAACCAACTTGCATTGGGTTGTTCCAGTGTAACTGAAATGCGCATGCGCATTGTTAAAAAGCAATTTGAATACTGGTCCAACTTTAGTTTGTGCCCGAACTTGTGATTGATGTTACTTTGACAGACAAGAATCCTGGCCTTCACGGGTAGCGGCAATCAATTTTTTGAATTCAAACCTCCAAAATACACCTTTATGTCTCAGTTAACCTTTTTTTCAACTTTTGTTTCACTATTTCTAAGGGTATTTTACTGCCTTTTTGGTTTTTATGCTAATGATATTTCCATATTCATGAGCAAAGCCATGGTGTCATCTCAGAGAGCAATAAGAAAGAATCAATTCCTTTGAGAAATGTTTTCAGTTGGTAAATTCTGGGCTCACAATTTGAAGAGAAACACACATGCACTGAACCATATCTTCCCTGGGGGACTTCACAGCAACAGCGCCCTCACTTGTCCAGGAAAGCATAGATGATTTTCATTGTTTAAAAAAGCATGCACTTTTCAATGCAAACATGGAAAGTAAAACAGTCTTCATACACTGAAGAACAAGAAAAAGTTGAAGAAAAATTGTGCCCAAGACGAATCCATTGCAACAACACCGGCACCAATGGCTGTTGTACTTCTGAAGTCATGTGTGCTCCAACTACGTGTATCAATTATCACACTGCGTACAACATGTATTGTGCAACCTGCATGTAGAGAGCCCTATTGTAATTAGCACCTCCTCTGTTCACACTGTCTCCAAGAACTTCCCTGGCCTTACAGGTATGCTCCCTTGAAGCTGCCTGCACAGAGAAAGGAAAAGCAGCTGCAGTGTGAGCTGCAAGTTAAGCAAACAAACAGAACTCTCCTCCTTGAGTGTATTCCGTTGCTATTCCAGTGTTCAGCCGTGCAGTTGATGGTCTGTGGGATATGTACCTCAGATGTGTGGGCAAAAACCTAGACAACTGGAAAGCTGTGACCAGTCCCACAGATGTGAATGTTATCACCAAAACTTCTTGTCCTAGTTCTCTGCGGTACACCTGTTCACATGCACATGTAGCTGTTGATACCCACCTGTTCATTAGAATTGACCCTCTGTGATTTGCCTGTGTTTACCCCCAGGGCTGGCTCACGGAGAACAAATGATTTTCCAGTGAAATCTTGACCATTCAGTGGCATCGGAGACACCTTGTGGCACAGTTGCTGGGAGTGTGGTTTGCCTGCAGAGAATAATTAAATTGTATTAATCTGGAATAACACCACTTGCCTAATTAGATATGCATATATGCGACCCACTCTATAAAAAATGGGATCTAAGTTGCCATGCTTTTGAGTTACAGGCCTTTCAGAGAATCTGGCGGTCTGGAAATAAATAAGACCCCTGGACACTTTTCACCCACACAATGATCACTTGTCATCTGGGTGCCAATATCAGTAAA